TAAATTCCTATTAATCAGACAAACTGATATTTTCCAAGGTTAGAGACGAAAGCCAGTGTAGATATGTGTCGATCATAATTTACATAAGTGTTTGTGTTTTATCTCGGTCATCCGTTTTAAGCTGCCATTAAGGTGTAAACTCGTACACAGCGATAAATGAATAATAAAGATGGTCACATTGGAACTGCAATTGACACTAACATTGTCCAATTTCCCGCAAATAGTAATTTCTACAAGAATTGAAGAGATCCGCCCTCTGCCTTGTGGATTATTTCATTTAGCTGGAAAATAAACAATAGCTTTCAGTGTTAACACATAAGAAAAAAGAAAGAAACCCTTTTTCTTTGTTGTGAGAGAGACACTTTGTTGCGATGTTTCGTTCTAATGAAGAGCACAATTTAGTGAGAAGAAAGAAAATAAAATAGAAAACTCAACGGTTACATGTCTGCTGACCAATCAACAATGCCGTTCAGCAATTATTTGATTGATTAAGTTCTTTGAAAAACCGTCGGGCAATACTCTGTAAATCTTTGGGTAGGGTTGTATCGCTGGGACACTGAAACCTTTACCCTTACCGGACCATGATAAGCTTGATTTTGCAACCCTGTTCTAGACTAGATACCTAAAACCCCTACCCTATCCAAGACTAGCTCTTTTTGTTTTAATGTGTCACCTGACTGAATTTATCCCGACCCCAATTTTGAAAACTGCGTGTGCTGCGAAAAACAGTTGAAGGACAATAAACATGATAGCGCTTGATTTGGCGCGGAATATTTGTCCTTGGATGTTACTGTTCGCTGCTCTCTTTTCGGTACAGATAATGTCCGCGGACAAATATCCTAGCATATTTTCGAGCCAAATGGAAGCTATCGCGCGCTCGTTGAATGATTGTTAAATAGATAGTACCGTTCAAATTCCAGCATCAAGAACAAGACCATCAGTACAAGAGTATTGTCGATGAAAGTATCAAGACTACTTTATAAAAATCTTTAATAATTTATATACTCACAGTAAAATACTGTAAATACCAATCGAGGTTTAAGTAGCTTATCTAATGTGTCGCAGCTACAATTCTTATCTCAGTTAAGTTTGATTACAAACGTGTATGAAATACTGTTCTGAAAACAAAACAGCAGACAAGAAAACTATCAGCAAAGAAGCTGAAACATGGTGCTCGTAAATTCTTTCAGCATAAAATATACTTAATGTACTTTAAACACAAGTCTACTTACTCAGTAAAATAACTATAACTATTTTCAGCTGGAAGATTTTGAATCGTTATTTCGAAATTTCGGGTTTTCAAAACGCGTATAGATAAACAAACTTCTTAAATAACACAAAAAGGGCTATAGTACAAGTGTTCTACTCTGTTGTAATGGAACACAGCAATTCGGCTTGGCCGTATAAACACGCCTGTTTAACAGAGCAAAGATCTCCCAACCCATACCCCCCATAAAGTTGAATCTCTCCGCCTAGCGTTTATGATCTAAATATAGTCATCTGCGGATGATCCAGCCCTTCATATACAACAGATGTCGTCTTCAACAAAGTCTATCATTTAACTCCGCCCGCCCCCCTTCCCTGGACAATAGCCACTTATGTCAAGAGTAAAAAGACTCGACAATAATTTCAATGTCCGGTTAACAACGAAAAACAAAAAAGAAACAACCCGTCCCAGGCTACCTTGCGGCATTGTCCTGTTCAAAGGCTTTCTCGAAATAGCTGCAGTGCACTTACCATTGGTGGCCATCCCCGGAGGGGGACACCGGGCAAGGGAGGAGACTGTAGAGAGTCCTACGATAGCTCTTTATTTCCCCCTTATAGGTAAGGGAGGGGTGTCACACAGCAGACTTAACAGCACAAATGAAATTGACCGAGACCAGGGAATAATAATTTGTCATCAAGAAATTAGCAACTGCTTTTAAACTTCAAGCTTCTGCTGAACTGCTTGCAGAAACAACACCTCCCTCATTCAGTCTACCTCTGGGGAAAATATCCCTTTAAATCTCCCTAAAGGGTAGGGCCGAAGACACCTCTATAAATTAAAAAGGTCGACCTCTTTCCAACAACAAGTTTAAATAAATCCAAATTATAACTTAAAGAGAAACAAAGTCGTTATCACTGGAATGCAGTTCAGGAAACTAAATAAGTTTAGATATTTAACGTATAATGAACAACTTATCTTTGAAATCTTTACTTTAAAGTACATGCTTTCAATACTGCCTCTCTATTCGATTTCACGTTTCGTTCTCATAAATAAAAGCGAAAACAAATTAAAAAGGAAAAATTAAAATAAAGGGAATGACATATCCACTCCTTAAGATCGTAATAAAATAAATTACATTTTTTCGGTGTTTCCAAGTTAAAACACAACCTAACTGTTGGCACAAAGGTTGATTGAAATGCTTTACCATAATGTGACCATAACAGTTCTCCAGTGAACTTAAACCATTTACAAAATTAGATCTTACGACGCTCCTTAGTCCTCCATCCATTCTCACTGTTGATCTTGGCTCAGAAAGCAGCACAGACTTTCCCTTTTGAGCCTCTCCGCCTTTTCCCGAAAAACCATTCTTTGGTTCCCATTTAATGAAGTAATATTTATCCCGTCTGACTTAATATTGACTCCATCTTTTACTGTCTTACACCGCTTCAGGCATGTTATCGAAATGTTTTCTCATGGACTTGATGCTTTTGTATATCTTGTTCCTGTGACCTATCAGGGTAACCCCGATCTCTTTGAGATCGTTGTCTTTTAGGCATGTTACTTGTGTTAAGTCCTTGAAGCCTGCAGTCTTGAAGTTCGCGGCATACTGTCCCATATGAATACTGCCTAACCACTCGTTGATCGTACTAAGTTTGGTGAAGTCCGCTGAAACGGCGCTGAAAGAGATCAGTATGTTTACAATTGATAAGACGTCTTTTGTTCCACACGTGCGATGGTTAACTACCGCGACTAAGTATAACAGACTCATTTCCCAGGTAATAGCAATACGTAATTTAACATACACAAAACAATAATTTAGGAAATGACCACTAACGGAAAATTTAGAAAACTGACTTTTCGTAAATGGCTTGGTTGGAAATGGAAATTGTCTGCGCTTTAATACATAGAACCTGGAGAGTTACTAGCACAGCATAACAAGTGACAACAGATATATATCACCTTGTCGGGCATTGTGGCTCATTTTGCGGACTACAATGGAGAATTTCACCGGCTAAAATCTATGTTAACCCGCTGAAATTTGAACACTTACAACTAAGCTTTATCGAGATTTCTTGTCATGTAAGATTTTGTTATTTCTAGTAAGTTTGCCTGAACATAAACTCTATTGGTTCATTATAATTTCCCGGTCATGGATCGTCGTGCGTCAGTGGACCTCAACGCAGATACTAATTAACGTCATTCTCAGCTCCTCCAATCCATTGTTTTACTGCCTTTATCTATAAACTTGCGTCAATCCCCAAGACCAGAACGTGAGAAAAATGGCCATCCCTCAAATACTGACTGCACTGAATATAAACTTCCACTCACTAACTGTCAGGCCGCCCGTAATACTATCAACAGCCTCTTTACCTCTTACCTTGTATAGCAAACTAGACTGTCATTTAACATTTCCGGCGTGCGGATAAGCTCATCCAACCGCTTCACAATTTCTTCAAACTTCGGTCGATTGGACCTGTCTTTGTCCCAGCAATCCATCATAATTGTATGCAGAATTTTCGGGCATTTCTAAACAAATGGAGACAAACCATATAATTCAATAAACTCGCCTTTTTATTCCAACTCTTTGACCACCTCTTCCCCGAGTAGCGAAACACGCAGGCTAGGGAAACTGTACTTAAAAAGAAATAAAGAAACACGAAGAAAACTACAAACAAACTGCTGACGTTCTTAAACAAGACTCAGAAGTAAAATACTTACCACAGGTGCTGGCAGCCTGTAGCCTCCCTCCACTCTGTCCATGACCTGTAAAGATAACGAGTAACTGCACATTAGCAATGAAAACACATCATGATAAATCCGTGTTTCTCAAACATCCCGGCTTGTTTATCATCATCGAATCATCAACACATTTTGAAACTTCAGCTTTTCAGGTCACCAGCCATTACACATGCAGTGTCTCACATAACGATCTATGTTGAAAAGGAAATAACAATTAAAATAGTTTAAAATATATTTATTTTGTTACCTCAAAGTTACTCCAGTTCCAATATGGCCTCTCACCAAATGCCATGGTCTCCCACATCACTATTCCAAAGCTCCAAACATCACTTGCTGAACTAAATTTCCGGTACCTTATCGCTTCGGGCGCTGTCCATCGAATTGGAATTTTACCGCCCTAGAGGGACACAAAAATGTCAGTTTATACCACGCTAAATAAGTTAAAAAACATAAGCAAACAAGCCAACAGGACGTTTTGGAATGATTTTTTGGTTGACAAGGAGAGCAAGTGTTAAAACAGCAAGGCACGTATCGACATGTTAGCTCATGTAAGCCGGCAGCATCTCTGTAAGAACCAAAAATGATTCCCCCGTTCGGTCTTCTGGGGAAGTAGATTTGAGATAAATTACCTGAGTCTGATACTCGGAATCAGGATTATCTTCCAACTCTCTTGACAGTCCAAAGTCTGATACTTTACAAACCATGTTCTCGCCAACCAAAACATTTCGAGCAGCAAGGTCCTAAAAAAAAGATAAACAACCTTGAAAAGTTAGAGTGCTAAATTTGACTTTTAGAGGATGATACCATTCATAGTTTATTTCATTTGCTAGCACAGCTCTAACTGACAGAGCAAATTTAAATAAAGACAAAAACATATGATATACAAAGAGATATGTGTAACGTCAAAATATATTAGAGAACAGTAAAAATAATAACAATACAAAGAAAGCAAAATATTATATGGCACAAATGGCAGGACAACATAGATTTCCAATCACGCATGCGTGCAAACGTAAGCTGATAAATCTGTAAGATGAGACAAAACAGGACAAACCACATTTTATCTCATCTCTTCTCTTTGGTATTTCATCGCCTTTGGCAGTGACAGGATTAAGGTATTGTCACGTATGCTGGGCTGACTTTTCAAATCTCAGGTACTTACCCTATGCACAAAATTAATAGCTGAAAGGTACACCATCCCTGATGCAACTCCACGGATCATGCCAATAAGCTGTAGGGTTGTGAGTTTGTCTTCGTGATTCTTAAAAAGGGAGAACGGAGTAGCAAGATTTGCCTCGGGAATATAAATGTTTTTTATGTTTCAGTTATATTTAAACACTCTTTTCGAAGCGCACTGCCAGAAGGCGTAACCTGTTGTCGCACATACATGAACGTTCTGGCATGTCAAGCAACACGTTGTAACGTAACGGCTGAACAAGATCAAGGAGGAAAGCTGACTTGCCTAACGTGAACATAAACGACAAAGTGTGACTGATGAAGACATTATAATAGTTCTGCTATACACAAGTTTAAAAAAAATCTAGAAAACAAGACAGAAAACGGAATCAAAATCAAGTATGATCGTTTTAGTATTTTTGAGTTGAAGCTTGTCAAAAAAAATTCTCCACAACAAATGTCAAAAAATTATATCACTGTGTTACATGTACGAAAAAACGAACAAGGACTATCAGTGAGCTTTCCGTACCTTGAGAAACGTATCTAGTGATCCACCATCCATAAACTCTGTTATAATCATCATGGGTCGACCTTAAAGTTAACAAATCAGAATACGCAACTGTCATAAAAGCGCGGACTCTCACAGATAAGTTTTACTTATAAGTGCATGCATGTATGAAGAAGCTGTAAGGTAGCTGGGTGAGGAGAGACTTTCTATACAATCTAGGCCATGTGTGACGCAGAGGACTAAAGAAAAAATAACTGCATGTAAGTTTGATAGGTGAAAATCTAGCAGCTAAAATCGTTCCAGAAGGGTAGCTATCCTTGATTTGCCGTTCAAAACTCAACCATGCTCAGCAGTTGAACTTCTGATCTCACAAAAATTAACAATCAGGTCTAAAACGGAAATAAATACAAACTTCTTGCACACTTACTGACTGTTATGACGCCTATCAACTGGATGACATTTGGGTGCTTAAACTGACCCATAATGGAGGCCTCAGAAATGAAGTCATCTCTAGTCTTGGATGTAGCACCTTGCTGATGAAACCAAAGAAACAAGCATTTAAAAGTAAGAAAGTGTTCAATTTTAAAACGATAACCAAAAACTATAGGCCCAAAGCAATCACTGGACTCTAAGCAAATATTGTAAACTCAGAACGAGCGACAAATTAAATTGTTAGTGGTCGTAAGCGCGGAAAAATTCTCGCAACTGACCATTTCTCTGATTCTCGCAACTCTGTTTAACTCACTTGTTAGTATAAATCTACTAGCGTTCTATCACGAATGCCGTTCTCTGATTGGCTACGTTACTCACTATCTATTTAACAAATAGATTCCATGTTGCCGTGTGTCTGTTCAGTAATAGATCACAGATGACGTCAAAATGTGGTAAGAACAAAAAAGTGNGTGTCAACAATTATTTTGAGACTGAGAAAAGTTCAATGTTTTAAATAAATTAATCTTATAAACATTTTGTTTATTGGGTTGGTTAAATTCGAGATAAAGCAATGGTTCTCGGCTTACCAAAACTAATTCTGTGTTTGGTTTAGTCTCGCTCGACTGCCGACTGAGACTGCTCGAGTATTTTTTCTGAGTCATTTTGTAAAACAGAAACGGCTTTATCTTTCTTCTTCCTGCTATACTATGCTTCTGGTACCTGTTCAATGCCTGAACAAGACTTTCTTGTACCTTATCTTGTGCCAAGTCATGTAAAATATGATCTAAATTCTCAAAACTTTCCGCCATTTTAAAACACATAGGGAAAAACTTTGTAATGATGACCTCAATCGTGCGTCTGTCCTCTAATAGATCATAGGCGAGAACCAATCAAAATGCGAGAATAACTTGGGTTATTGTATAATCTGTGATAGATAGTGAGTAGCACAACAGTGTGCCCTGGATAACAAAATGACCACCGCTTATTAACGTTTTCGAAGTGTCTTAGAAGAGGATTTAGATAAGTTTGAAAGATCGACTAGTACATTTATACTAAAGCAATTAGATTATTCGCTCTCTATTTCTGATCGTGATAGTTGACTCGGGCAGCGCCCTCGTCATAGCAATCTCGTGATAGAAATCTCGAGCTCATTATCTACCGGTACTTGTTTAATAGAAACAAATCGAAAGTTTCCTTAGCATCAAAACCAAAACCAATCAAATTACAACAAAAATCAACACATTCACAGCATACCTTTAAAATTTTCACTGCAACAATAGAGTCTTCAAATAATCCCTTGAAAACTTCAGCAAACTCGCCTACCGATAGAGAAGATGAAAAGAGAATATCTACATTCCTTTCTACAATATATGCGGCATAGTCAAGCAGAAAGGTCAGGAGAGTTTAAAAAAAGCCTTGGAAATTAGGGAATAATTCCCCAAATACCATACTCAAAACTTTTGGCGATCCGGAAGGCAACTTTAACATTCTCTGGGTCTTGTAAAAGTTTAGTTATAAACACACGGTTTGTAGAGAATGTGTAACTGAAGAATGAACTAAAATAAATTTCCTTTGCTTTGAAAATGATAAATCCACTGAGTAAGTACAAACCTCCACCAACGGCACACTCTAACTTGATATGACATCTGTCAATCTCAGCAGCGAACGTCTTGACAGCTTCCATCGGATCACCATAGTTACTGGGATCAACGTACTGACTCAGTCCATGATTAGCAAAAAGCTCAGTTGCTACAGAAATAAGGAGAAATCAAACAATGAAATTACTAACGGACTGATAAGTTAATACGGTGTCAATTTAAATGATATTAGTGGCACTGGTACCGGAAATAACAGCAAGACATAAAAAAATATCACAAAACAGTGCAAACGGTCTGTCACTCCCTAGCTAACAATTTACAGTAAAGCTAAAATTAAATGAACATTTCCTCTTAGTCCAACTGAAATCGCTCATGTGAATAAATATTCAGACTGACCTTCAAATGTGGTAGCTCGTTTCCGGAATTTCCTGCAAGGAATCAGAACAGCAATAAAAGGAGTTGTCATTAAGAACATAACAGCAGAGGCAAGGCAAGAGCTCAAACGCGGACGTTAACTCATGTTCGCAACTGATCAGGTGAAAATTAAGACTTCAGTTACAAAAAACGTTCAGTCGAGCACTTAAATATTACACCTTAAAACATTAAAAAAGATCCATTACCTCCGTTTTGAAATAACCACTGTGATAATAACAATGATAACCAGAATGAAGATGGTGCCTCCTGCGGCCACAGCAATCAAAAGCCAAAGCTTCTTCTTGTCATCAAATTTTGAGACTACAACACAATGAACCATAATCACCAGCATGAATCTTTCAAAACTCGACATGTGAATTATATAAATCCACTTCACAGACAATTAGAAAACGCAAAGAAGCGGCCGCCACTTTTTAGCAACCGCACACTGCTAAGCTAGAGACTATAAAATTATGTACAGCAGAATAGACAGTGAGAAGCCTAGCTAACAAAAGAGCGCTTCTCATGATATAATGCAAGTAGGTTAATGCCATTATAAGATATATGGGGAGTACAAGTAAGAAAAAACTTGCATTTGTCATCCGAAGAATGAAAGAAATATTCAGGGCAGCACACAAATGGTTTTTACCTATTTTTTTGCCTTGCGTTTTGGCTTCTTCACTTTTCGGGCCAAATCCCATGCTGTTCTTTGCAACAACCTAAAACCAATAAGTAGTGGAACTTCATTATTCTTGAAACCAGATAAGGAAAAACGGGAAGATAAACAATTAAGATCGCAGAGTTGCTTTGGACTCCTCTGTGATTGTTGGTAACGCCAGACGTACATGTAAGAAGAAAATGGCACCCTTAAAATCCAAAGTTTAAAAAAAAACAACAAAAAAACAAAAAAAAAAAAAACAAGATCCTTTCCTCTTGTTGTCCTTTTGATTGTCTTTCGGTTTATGTTTCAAAAATTAACTCAGTCAAATGTAGCTGAGAACACAACTGACTGGACACTCACACAACTGACTGGACAATCACACAACTGACTGGACACTCACCTCGAATTCGTACTCAACACCAGGTTCAAGTCCAGTTATTTCGATTTTAGTTTGAGTTGTGTTGATTGTGTGCTCATCTGAGCCATCTGATAATTTACGGTATGTCACAAGGTAGTAATGGATGCCTTCATTGCCATTGTTTAGAGTCCATGATACAATCACAGAGGTGCTATCAGTTCTCCTTATTGTTACCTCGGGTTTTTCAGGAGCTAAAATATAAACGAACGTAAGATTCAGGAGTAAGAAAAAAGAGGGAAAGGGAAAAGATGAGAACGTTATCTGAAGATGGGAAAGATACAAACAAAGCGTAATTATTTTGGTAAACACGTAAACGTAAGAAAGAAGAAAAAGAGGGAAGGGAATCGTTGTAACACAGCAAAGATATAAACAAGGGAAGGGAAAGGAATTACTGAAACGAAAATTTCTCGTATGAAGATCACTAGTACAGTGCGATCGAATCAACGAGATCGCTATACCTGATTCCAACGTAGTGACTTCTGATGTCGCAAACTTGGAAGAGTATCCGTCTTTCTCTGCTACTGCACTGACACCATTTTTTGCGTATATCTTGAATATGTACCCCGTTCGTGGAAACAAGTTGGTTACAGTCGCTTTGGTTTGCGAAAAGTTTCCTTGTCTGGGTAGAAAGAGTACTTGTGTTCCACAGTCTTGACTGCAGCTTAATTCGTCTTCCCGACACACGATCTTGCATTCGATCTCATAAAATAAATCATTTCGGCCACCGAGGTGACGAGGTTGCGACCAAGATAGGCTCACTGTTGTCTGATTAAAGTCCAACTTTCGTAAATGTCTTGGCGCAGAAGGAATACCTAAAGAGACCAGGCATAACGCATACACATTAGGTTTTGATTAGTGGCATTCTAACCAAGAGAGATTCACACCAATTTTTGCACTTTAACAGGGAGCCCGCGTGTTAAAATAATCACTGGTTTAAGGATTGTTAAGTAAATGATCATCAAAGGAATTCAAGCTGGCGGGATCAAGCTCCTTAGTCACGCCAAGGCGTAATGACCCACAGCCTTATAACCAGCTACAGTAGGCAGACAAACAATCACAAAGTTTTAATACAATACCTGTGCAATTATCTGAAAAACGTTCCCACGTCGCTCGAAAAAATCCTCGCTTGCATTTACAACTTTTCCTGCCTGTGCCCGCGACGCTATGTTCTGGACATTTGGAACATTTAACGTTTCCAAGCTTGTCTTTGAAATAGCCAAGTGCACACACTTTGAAGAGAAGTAACGAAAGTTAGCCATGTGAGAGCCTGAACATCTGCGTTGTTACATAATAAACATAATGGCGTTAACGAGGCACTAAGCCATGGAAACGTAATTGAAAAAGTCGGGCTGATTATTTCAACTTGTATTGTTTGCGTCTTAAATTTCGCTAAAAACAATTGCAGTTTGCTCTGCCTTCAACAAAGGACTTACCGTAGTCATAATTGTAGAAAGCTTTTGAAGTTGTTTCTTTATTTTGCTTAAAACAGAGATCTGAGTCTAGAGGACCGGTCTATGTGCCCAGATAAACTTTACGTATAAAAAACCCCCTTTACAGATCCCCTATACATCCAACATTTACGAGCCGGTCAGCGGCTACGTTTAAGAGGTATCGCTCTTTCGCTGCTATCCACATGTAATATGGCGGTGATGGTGACGATTTAAACGATGTAGAAAGAAACACCTAGAGTAGAATCTGGGCATCGTTTCACGGGTATTTCATGATCCCAATTAGCTGAGATTAGATCTATTGATTGCTATCTAATAATTATTATGAAGAATCACAAGCCTGCGGGAGGTACGTTATCTACAGTAACTCGTTTAGCTTATCTTTAGACATTTCATAACCACCATTTCTGACATTTCTGATAGAACTGGAAGGTATTCACAGATAACAATGGGCGAAAGTATACAGTATTGTAAATGATCCACAAGGGTCATCCTTATGTCTGCAAACAATTTAAAACCTGATAAGCTCTTTATTTGACATTAATAATAATTTTATTGTTGAAGGCCGTTTCCCGGGTCATCGGCGGTAAGTTACAGCTGTAAGTTAAGACTTGTAGGGTTATAGTGTAATCTTCAAATGTCTCATTGAAAGCTATTTGGTCTAACACTACTGACTAAACTACAGGTTACACGTCAGAAGCAGAGAAATTAAACTCATCGACCGCATTTGGATAAATACTAATAATAATACAATATATTTATATGGCGCTAATTCCATAAAGTAATGTTCAAATGCGCTTCACAATATAAAGTTAGTAAAAAGGGTAAAAATTACAGTAATGAGGTAAATTCACACAGTAAAATGGAAAACAGGAAACAATAAATAATTAAAATACTAGATCAAAATAGTGATGAAAAAGATCTACTGCACTAAAAATTACGAAAAAAAACGCTGGAATGAAAAAGGTGAGTTTTTAACTGTTTGGAAGTAATCAACGACCACTACATACCTTGGCATTCAGAAGCAACTTTCTCCCATCCAGCTATACAAAGACATTCACCTGTAGAAACATCTCCTCTGACCCACTCTCCACTGCTACCACAGTTGGCACCCAATTCTGGTGCGGTAGGTTCTGAATTGGCTGCACATTTACCCATAACTTTTACAATTTTAGATTCATTAACTGGAGCAATTGTCTGAGGCAACAATACAAGACTATCAGGTAAAGTCTTCCTTGGACAAACATTATATGTCACCACAATGGAGTTTACCACAAGACAAGCTCCTTGGTCATGAATAGCAAGGAAGACTTTTGAAGTTCTTTCCTTGATGAAAAGGGACATCTCTGCAATGTTTTGTACACTGACAGACTGGTTAGATGAATTACTTGGTAATGAAATTGTTTCCATTTTGCTGTAGTGTCCATTTCTTGGATCAGAATATGAATTATTTGGTTCCTGATTTGACTGATAACCATAAACATCAAACCTTTCAGAGCAGAATTTTCTTACATTAGCATCGTCATACAATGCACATCGTTTCATTGAGTAGTTGATTGCAATATCAATTCTTTTAAGTTTGTTGTGATCAATGCCATAACTCCATATCCAGTTGCTTGGCTGTTGTACACCAATGTCACAGACAGTATATCTAAATGTTCCACTGTCAGAGGGAAAGGTTGACCACTAAAAGAAGAGATTAAAAGACACATCAGCAACTTAAAAATATATTTTGTTTATGGAGTCTTTTCTTACTTTCAAATGAATACAATCCTACATGTACAACTTAAAAACCACATTGTAGTTTTCCATTTTCTACAAGGTCAACAGCATATTCAAAGTGATGTCACAGTTGTAAGATGTTAACGATAGTCAATGGGGATCAGAATCAGATCTCATTGATTGGATGAATCCTAGCTTTCAGCCTGATGACTGTGTTCTGAATTTAATGAGGCTATTGCCTGATCCCCACACAACAGCCTCAGGGTCAGCATCACATGAAAATCTTCATCCATGGCACCAAAAGACAAGAAGAAATGCAGCCAAAAAGTATACATGTACCCAAGTAGCAACAACAACTGTTACAATAATAATTATAATAATCGGATCTATAACAAAATTCTCAATTGTGATTGGTTCTCTGAGTGCCTATTTGTCACATAACCAGTGTGCCATCATGTGGGTGTCCAATTTACAGGTATCCAATTTGAACTTTTTGTGAGTGGATACCTGCAATTGGATACCCACGTGATTGGCACATCAATTGAGTGTGCTTTAATGGCTTCCTTCTCAATGTTTCCTAAAGTTTTAAAAACTTATGAAAAGCACTGCAAAGTTTTTCACTCAAAAAGTTCTCAAAAGACATTTTTTATTCCCAAATTTGTTGTGGATCAAAAATAACGCATTTTTGTATAAAAAGACATTTAAAAATATACTTGTTCTGCGAACATGTAATATTCAAAAAATATACTTTCTCCTAAATTACATTTCAAAGGTTCAATGGTAAAAATAACTAGTATTGATAGAAAATACAAGAGAAGCATTATAAGTATTATTAAGTAATAAACAAGACATGTTTCAGAGGGAAGATAATCCATCATCATTTTACAAGAATAACTTAGAAAATGAGCAGTTAGTTGTTTTCACTTTTTCTGTTTCACCACTTAATCCTTAAAATATTCTTATTTTCATTACACACTGTTAACCATTTATTGCCTATTTTCTCAGGTATTCTTGTAAACAGATGATGGATGATGTTTCATCCAAAACATATGTTGTTTAACGCTATATATGAATTTTCAAACACATCATGTGGTTTCTGAGAGCTATATTTTACTTTGTACTGCTGAGAAGCCTTGGTAATGATAATAGTAGTAATAATAATAACAATAATAGTTATGTTAATAATAATAATAATAATATATTATTATTATTATTATTATTGTCATTGTCATTGTCATTGTCATTATCATTGTCATTGTCATTGTTATTATTATTACAGCTATAATAGTAATAATAACAATACATGTAATACTGTAGGTAAGGTAAAGTCTGCATATAAGCCAAGTGACCCATCAGGCTGGAGCATATCCCAGTTTCTGTAGCATGAAGTGACTAGGAATATTTTTTTTCTCTAGACGGGATGCTAGTCCATTGCAGAGTTACCCCCAACATTGAAAAATTTGCAGTACCCATTTGTACACCTGGGCTGGGTTGTTTGATAGCTGGTTAACCCTGACCCAGGATTATTAGCAGTTAACCAAAGTAACCATTTTTCTGTTTTTCATTTCTTATGTTTTGTGTAGTTTGAGATTAGTCAAGCTCAAAACTGAAGGACAAACAGAAAACCTCACCAAAAAAAAATACAAAACTGAAAAGAAAATTCTCATTAATTCTGGGTTAGCTTAATCAGGCTTTGAACAACCCGGCCCTGGGTGGAGACAGGCACTGTGAGATTAAAGTATCTTAATACTCCCTGCCGGGGTTCAAACTCAGACCACTTAATCCGGAGTCGAGCACACTAACCATGAGGCCAATATAATAATAATAATAATAATAATAATAATA